TTAGCCAACTGGATCCAACAATACATTAAAAAAATTATTCACCAAGACCAAGTGAGATTTATACCTGGGATGCAGGGCTGGTTCAATATCTGCAAAACAATCAATGTGATTCATCATATCAATAAAAGAAATGACAAGAACCATATATCCTCTCAACAGATGCAGAGAAAGCATTTGAGAAAATACAGCATTGTTTCTTGATAAAAACCCTCAAGAAAGCAGGGATAGAAGGATCATACCTTGAGATCATAAAAGGCATATATGAAAGACCCAACGCTAATATCATCCTCCATGGGGAAAAACTGGGAGCTTTCCCTCTAAGGTCAGGAACAAGACAGGGATGTCCACTCTCGCCATGGTTATTCAACATAGTATTAGAAGTCTTAGCCTCAGCCATCTGATAACACAAAGAAATAAAAGGCATCCAAATCATCCAGGAGGAGGTCAAACTTCCACTCTTTGCAGATGACATGATACGCTACATGGAAAACCCAAAAGATTCCACACAAAAACTGCTAGAACTGATTCATGAGTTCAGCAAAGTTGCAGGATATAAAATCAATGCACAGAAATCACTTGCATTCCTATACACCAACAATGAAGCAACAGAAAGAGAAATCAAGGAATCAATCTCATTTACAACTGCACCAAAAACCATAAAATACCTAGAAATAAATCTAACCAAAGAGGTGTAAAATCTATACACTGAAAACTACAGAAAGCCTATAAAAGAAATAGAGGAAGGCATAAAAAAATGGAAAAATATTCCATGCTCCTGGATAGTAAGAACAAATACTGTTAAAATGTCAATACTATCCAAAGCAATGTACATATTCAATGCAATATTTATCAAAATAATACCAGCATTCTTCACAGAGCTAGAACAAATGATCCTAAAATTTGTATGGAACCAGAAAAGACCCCAAATAGCCAAAGCAATCTTGAAAAAGAAAACCAAAGCAGGAGGAATCACAACCCTGAACTTCAAGCTGTATTACAAAGCCGTAATCATCAAAACAGTATGGTACTGGCACAAAAACAGACACTCACATCAATGGAACAGAATAGGAAACCCAGAAATGGACCCACAAACATATGGCCAACTCATCTTTGACCAAGCAGCAAAGAATATCCAATGGAATACAGTATCTTCAGCAAGTGGTGCTGGGAAAACTAGATAGCAAAATGCAGAAAAATGAACCTTGACCACTTTATACACCATACACAAAAATAAACTCAAAATGGATGAAAGACCTAAATGTAAGATGAAAGACCTTAATGTAAGATACATCAAAATCCTTGAGGAGAAAGCAGGCAAAAACCTCTTTGGTCCTGGCCACAGCAACTTCTTACTCAACACATCTCCAGAGGAAAGGGAAACAAAAGCAAAAATGAATAACTGGGACCCCATCAAAATAAAAAGCTTCTGTACAGCAAAGGAAACAATCAGCAAAACTAGAAGGCAACCGAATGAATGGGAAAAGATATTTGCAAATGACATATCACATAAAGGGTTAGTATCCAAAATCAATAAAGAACTTATCAAACTCAACACCCAAAAAACAAATCATCCAGTGAAGAAATGGGCAAAAGACATGAATAGACACTTCTCCACAGAAGATACCCAGATGGCCAACTGACACATGAAAAAATGCTCAACATCACTCATCATCAGGGAAAAACAAATCAAAACCACAAGGAGATACCACCTCACACCTATCAGAATGGCTAACATTAACTCAGGCAACAACACATGTTAGCGAGGATGCAGAGAAAGAGAATCTCTTTTGCACTGTTGGTGGGAATGCAAACCAGTGCAGCCACTCTGGAAAACAATATGGAGGTTCCTCAAAAAATTAAAAATACAACTACCCTACAACCCGGCAATTGCAGTACTGGGTATTTATAAAACGGATACAGGTATGCTGTTTCAAAGGGACACATGCACTCCAATGT